TGCCTCTTTATTGAAGTTATCTTTCACTTCCTGTTTTTTCTCTCTCATTTCATTTCTTATACCATCCTTTACTCCCAGATCAGTGTAATTATATACAATCTAAACTCCTTCACTGGCATTTCTTCTTTTGTGGTGTCAATGGATTTTGTTATTAGAATGTTGGTTTGTTTGGGACAGTTTGTTCCCTTGCTTTTTGAAGTTGTTTATGCATCTACCCATCTAACAGTATGGATCTAAGGCAATAGAGTTTCTACCCTGTGGATTTATAGTGTTCCTGAAGGTTTTCAGTACCTCACTATTTAAGGGGAGACAAATAACAGCAACCAATGCAAACAATAAGCAGTATTAAACCAAATAGTTCCTACTATGACATCTACAATGTTAATTATCACAATAAACAGAAATTATATGATCAGTTATTACAATAAAAAACAGCAAGTTTGCAACAGGATTTATAATTTCAAATAGTGGACAGGGAGAGAACAGAAGTGATACAGGAGCTGATGATTAGGAGGGAGGAGAGGATAAAAATAAGTAAAAGATTAAAGGAAGAGTGTAAGACAGAACAATAGAGATTGGCTGTTAACAGAAGAAAAGATTGAATCAAGGGAAACAGGAGAAAAAAATATATATATAAAGTAAAATTTTTAAAAATTTTTAAAATAAAAATGAAAAACTAACATATACTAATCAAACATCCTAGTTCACACACAAACAAACAACAAAAAAAAAACCTAAACTATGAAAAATAGCTGGCTTCATAAATGCTAGAAATGAGAAAAAACAAATATGAATATGTATAAATGTCCATGTACCATTAAGGTCACAATTAAACAGAAAAAGAATAATTAAAAAAAAAAAGATCTTGATGAAAAGTTAAAGAACTTTCTGTTGGATTTCAAAATATTCTCACCTTCTCTTCTCAGCAGTTTTAGATGGTATCTTCTGGAGTGTGATGCTCCACCCTCTGGATTGCTGGAGTAAGAGAGGTAATCTCTTAGGCAGACTTTCTGAGGCAGGGTTTAGGCTAGGATGGGTTCCAGGCTCTTTGCTGAATGCCTATTGGTCTGGAGATTTTTAAATCACTGCACCTCCAGCAACCAGTACTTGCTGGTCCATGCTGAAAGACTGTACCCCAGGGATTCATGTGGTGGGAGACCCAATTCTTAGYCCCTTACGTCACCTTCAGACCCCATGTTTCCTAGTCTTGGCTTCAGTCTTCAAACAATCTCTCCTGCCCCTGCCCTTCTGAGTTCCAGGCCAGATGCATCTCTCCCAGATGGTTCTGCAAGCAATCAGAATAGAGGCGGAGGGGTAGAGGCATGTGGGTTTCAACAACCAGTTAAACCCTGTGTAAACCTTTCCAGGTTTGATTTTCTCCTGGTCAATTAAACACACTCTGTGTCATGCATTGTGTGTTAAACAGGCCTGTATTTCAGGCCAAACTCGGTTTGCCAGAAATCAACCCCATCCAAACTTGGTTTGCCAGGAATCAACCCCATCAGCTGCTGGCCCCCACGCAGCAGCTATGAAAYAGTTCCTTCCTTTGTCCTCCACAAGCCTCCTAGAGATATGACAGCTTCTTTCCCCACATGCAGATATTGTACAGCACATCTTTCAGGTTTGCCAGGTAATGTCTTTGATCTCTTAACACTTGGTGCCCAGAAATTTGGGTTCCTTTAATTCCCTTGTCCTTCCACTGTGCTCACAGAGGGACTTCTMTGGCTGGTGCTTCCTGCGGCAGTGATTGTGCTGCTGGGTATTTCTTCCTTATTTTTATATCAACCTCCTGAGTCCCTATTCTTCTTTTAATGTCCAGTTTTAAATTCCAGTAAAGTTCCCCTACTCTTTTTYTTTGTTCACCCACCTTGCTGAGAAGCTGCCTGTCTGCTTTCTTAGTTTCACTCCATGGAGCAGACAGAAAAGTGACCTCCTCTATTCCTCCATCTTGAAAACCTCCTAGTTGTATAATCTTATTATTTGATATAGGGCATGACCTTTGATTATGGGACTAAATTTAATTCTACTTAGTCTTTCTTGTTAAAAATCCAACATTTAAAAAACTCTTAACATGATAATAGTTTACTTGATAATAGTTGTTAATAGATAGTAAGTTTAATAAGACAATAGTATATTTAAATTATAATAATTTACTTAAGGTGGAAAAACTTGGGGAGAACTTGAGACATGAATACAGTATCTTTTTAGATGATTACCATTGTTTCCCAATCTTTGTTAGGTATCTAACACATACCCACTTCAATGGAAATTTTTATTAGCAACTCATTTTTAAAGAATGTGTTTTAAGCATTTAAAAATTGTTCTTTTAGAAATAGAAGCTCTCTTTTTGTAGTTTGTGTTACTGATAATACCACGTCATTAGCAGGTTTGGGAGCAAGCATAATTGACTGACCCTTACTCTAAGCATACAGCTCAGCTGTTTGGATCAGAAGTGCAAAGTAGTACTGAAGAGTACTAAACTATCTGTGCACATTAAAGCTTATCCTGAGCATCCAGTAACACATTTTATAATATTCCATTTATGAATAACGGGATGTTGTTAATCTAGTAAATCACATKGTGGAGGGAATTTAAAAGCACTTATTTTGTACTCATTTTCTTCTATATGAAATTTCAATTATAGAACATATCCAGAGTCAGCTATATCTTACCACAAGATTTTATACACTTTGTTTTCCTTAAAACTCAATGCTGGGGCTGGGATTGTGGCTCAGTGGTAAGAGTGCTTGCCTACCATGCATGAGGCACTGGGTTTGATCCTCAGCACCACATAAATGTAAAATAAAGATATTGTGTTCACCTAAAACTAAAAAATAAATATTAAATTTTTTTTTWAAAAATCAATGCTGGAAAATGTCTTATTGTCTTAAGTCACTCTGGTTACTCCCAAAGAATTTTATGCTAATTTGTGTTTGTTTGTTTSTTTGTTTGTTTACATTTCAGTGGTAGGAATGGGATCCTGGTGTTTCCACATGACTCTGCAATATGAAATGCAGGTTAGTAATGACAGAATTGACTAAATGTTTATTTTTCTAAATCTAAAGACACTTCAGATTTGAGAAAAGAGCACATAAATAAAGGAAAATTAAAAGATGGGATTTTAACTAGTGGAGTTTCTTTAGGTCAAAGAATCTAAATTGACTAAGAAGTGAATAGTTGAGTTGTTTGTAAAGAAAACAAGTGAAATTGGTATCATTTTTTATACCACCTCTTTTCAGGCATTATAATTTTAGARAAGCATTCTAGAGTTGTATAGAAACATTTTTAAAAGACATAATCAGTTCACCAAAACAATGTATTCTTTTTTAAAAATTTTTTTGTTTGTCTTTTAGTTGTAGTTTGACACAGAACCTTTATTTTATTTTTATGTGGTGCTGAGGATAGAACCCAGCACCCCACATGTGCTAGGCAAGAGCTCTACTGCTGAGCAACAACCCCAGCCCCCAAAACAATGTATTCTTATTCTTAGATGCCTGCATTCTTTCATATCTCCAAGGTATCCATGTGAATGGTCTCATACCCCTCTAATTGGTAAAAATTTTAGAATCATGCAATGATTTTTAGTTCCTATTCTTTCTCTAAGGAGGCCAATGTCTAGTGCTCGAGCTTTTGACCACTTGGTTTATCATCATTAACCCAGGAACTTCTAGAATATCACTGTCCAGTAGAAATAGGACTTGAAATTATGACTTTATCAGCTGGGCATGGTGGCATATGCCTGTAATTTCAGCAGTTTGGGAAACTGAAGCAGGAGGATTGCAAGTTCGGGGCTACCCTGGGCAACTTGCTGAGACCCTGTCTCAAAATAAAATACAAAGTGCTCAGTGGTAAAGCACACCTGGATTCAATCCCCAGTGCTAGAAGGTGGGAAGACTTACTTAAAAAAGTAAGCTATGGGTGCAATTAATATATTAATATTACAAAAGTGTTACTTCAACATATAATCAATATAAAAAAATTTAATAAGTACTTCATGTTCTGAAATCTGATGTATATTTTGTATCTGTAGTATATTTCAGTTCAGATTTGGCTTATTTGACATATTGGAGTGGCTAGTGGCTATCATGTTGGACAATGACATTGTACATATATAACAGTCTTATTTATTATTAATATAGCTATTAAATGTATAACAATTCTTAATATTGATTCTAATATTCAACAAATATTTGTATAAGGTGTCGTGTTCTATTCATCATGCTCTGCTTGACTTGGGTAATACACAGATGGACAAGACAGGTCTAATCCTAGTAAAGCATAAAACAAACACTTATTTTTACATTTTCTGGTTGGGAAAACAGTGATGGAATGTAAAAATTAATTTGAAGGAAATGTGAATGATTTGTGGCAACATAGGGGTGCTTGGAAGAATCTATAAAGGTTAAAGACRTTAAAACAGACTCTGAAAGAAGTAGTTCAAAATTTTTAGGTGGTAAAAGAATGAAATTGCTAGATTTACATTATGATGAAAACAGATACAGGGACTCATTACAATGTGTGGTGTGTATAGCAATACTTGCAAAGGTAGAATATGAAATGTAGGAAGAAATGGTGTGTTAGTTTTTTGTTGCTGTGACCAAAACACCCAATAAGAACAACTTAGAGAAAGAAAAGTTTATTATGGGCTCAGTTTCAAAGATTTCAGTCCATGTAGACTTACTCCATATTTCTGGGACCAAGATGAGATAGAACATCATGGTGGAAGAGCATGGCAGAGGCAAGCCCCTCAGGACATGAAGGCCAGGAAGCAGGCAGTGTAGGTGAGGGAGGCACTATGCAGTGCTGCAGGGAAGGTGAACCCTTCCAGGGCGTGGCCCTAGTGACATACCTCCTCCAGCCACTTCCCATAGCCCAGAGTTACCAACCAGCACAGTAGTTCCTTCAAATTAGGATGGACTGATTAGAGTACAGCTTTCATAATGTAATTGTTTCACCTTTAAACATCCCTGTGTTGACACAAGAACTTTTTGGGGATACCTCATATCCATAAAGTAAGAATTGGTATCATTGATATTCACAATACTTAACAATTACAATATTCTGCCATACCAGTCAGCAACAGCTAATTAATAACCCTGAAAATAGAACTTTGCATGTTATCTTATTTAAAAGTAATTGGAGGGGCTGAGGTTATGGATCAGTGGTAGAGTGTTCACCTAGCATTTGTGAGGCACTGGGTTTGATCCTTAGCACCACATAAAAAATAAATAAAATAAAGGTATTGGTCCATCTACAACTAAGAATTTTTTTTWAAAAAAGTAACTGGAATTTTTTTTTAGTTCTCAAATAGCCAGATACTTTTTTATTAAAACCTCAAGACAACTCTTAGTTACTACTCATGTTTTACACATTCTAATACTAGAGGTGAAAGAGACTAACTGATTTGACCAAAATTATCCACAGGTTATAAATTCTAACCCAAAATCAGTTTTTCTGATTTTAAATCCTGAATTTTTATCTCCAGATTAATTTCCCTTATCTTTTGACAGTGTAAGAAAGATAGGACTTTTCTAGAGACTTTTTGGCAATATTATCAGAAACCCTAAAACTAAGGGAAGGAGGTTCTGGCCCAGACTGAGGTTATCAGAGCCTGAGTGAGTTAAGGATGGTTTCCACATAGCRGGGAGGGGTGACCCAGAGTCAAAGCCTGAGAGAGACACAGTGTATCCTCATGGGTTGGGAGTCCACCATCACAGAGCATTGGCTCTTGAATCATGCAAGGCATGTATCCATAAGGGGATAATGTAGAGTATCAGAGTGTAATCAGGGGTGAGAAGAGTGCTTGAACAGCAGGGCAATGTATGTCAGAGTTTCAGAGACCATAGTGAAAAGAATGTATTGGCAGAAATGGCAGCTCAGGGCAGAATAAGATGTCCACCCAAACTAGGGAGATCATTGGGCACATGGTTACAATCTGAGTGGGATAAGGAGGATGCCATGTAGTAGGTGCAGCTTTGTGCTGAGTTTCATTGCCCTAAAAGGATGAAGATGACTTATACATAGCAGGGTAACCTAATGTACGATATGAAAACATGGGTAGAGTGAAGACGTTATCTAAATGGGGGTTCACAGCAGCCCAGCACAGGGCTGTTTCCCCTTTGTTTCCTTCTAGAAGWTGCCAAGTTTCTGATGTTCTTGTTTTCTTCCTGAACGTTAATATTTAAATAATTGGAATTCTCCATCTTTCAAACCACTATAGCATCCGTGGCAGAGGGCTCCCATGATTCACAGTGAATCTACACTTTAGCTTCTGCCCGAGCCATGCACCAAAGCACCAAGGGGATAGAACTGTATTGCTGGAGAAATAACTTCGATTTTGATCTTCCATTATTTCAGTAGTTTATTATTTTAACAAATGTCACTTTTCAAATATGTTGTGAGGATGCCAAGAGGGGGCTGGATGCTGAATCTTTATAATACACTTCTTTTTTATTAGTTCTTTTTAGGTATACATGATAGTAGAATCTATTTTGACATAATTATATAAGCATGGACTATGTCTTGTTCTAATTCAGACCCCAGTACTTCTCTTTCCCCTCTCCCATATTTAGTTTATTAGTTAATTAATCAATTTTTAAAATTTTTAATTTCTTATGGATATATATGATGGTGAGATTCACTGTGTTATATTCATGTATATAGATAGGAAAGTTGTCTCAGATTTATTCCACTGTCTTTCCTTTCCTCACCACCCTTCATTTCCCCTTGTCTACTCCACTGAACTAATCTCTGCCACCCCTTGTTATGGGTTAACTTCTGTATCTCAGAGAAAACATTCAACCTTTGGTTTTGAGGGATTGGCTTATTTCATTTAGCATGATAGTCTCAAGGACCATCCATTTACAGGTAAATGTCATAAAATCATTCTTCTTTATGGGCTGAGTAATGTTCTCCTGTGTATATATTCCACATTTTCTTTATCACTCACCCGTTGAATGGCACCTAGATTGGCTCCGTAGCTTAGCTAAATTGTGAATTGTGCTACTATAAACATTGATGTGCTATGTCACTATAGTATGCTAATTTTAAATCCTTTGGATATACACTGAGTGGGATAACAATAGTGGTTCCATTCCTAGTTTTTTGAGAAATCTCCATACTGCTTTCCAGAGTGGTTGCACCAATTTGCAGTCCCACAAAACAATGTTTAAGTGTATTCTTTTCCCACATCCTTTCCCACATTTATTATTACTTATAGTCTTGATCATTGCCGTTCTGACAAGTGCAATGAAATCTCAGTGTAGTTTTAATTTACATTTCTCTAATTGCTAGAAATGTTGAACATTTTTTCATATATTGTTTACCAGTCATATTTCTTCTTTTGAGAAGTATCTGTTTAGTTCCTTTGCCTATTTATTGATTGGATTATTTATTTCCATGTTAAGTTTTTTGAGTTCTTTATATATTCTGGATATTAATGCTTATCTGACGTGCAGGTGGCAAAGATTTTCTTTCATTCTGTAGGTTCTCACTTCAAGCTCTTGATTGATTCCTTTGCTGTGAAGAATCTTTTTAATTTGATGCCATTCCGTTTATTGATTTTTTATTTTATTTCTTGGACTTTAGGAGGTTTGCTAAGTAAGTGAGTTTCTGAACTGATATGTTTGGCCCACATTTTCTTTTAATAGGTGCAGGGTTTCTGGTCTAAAAACTAGGTCTTTCATCCACTTTGAGTTGAATATTGTGCAGGGTGAGAGATGAGGGGTCAAATTTCATTCTTCTACATATGGATTTCCCGTTTTCCCAGCATCATTTACTAAAGAAGCTATCTTTCCTCCGAAGTATGTTTTTGGCACCTTTTTCTACTATGAGATAACTATATTTTGTGGGTTTGTCTCTGTGTCTTCTATTTTATTCCATTGGTCTTCATGCCTGTTTTAGTGCCAATACCATGCTATTTTTGTTACTATATCTTTGTTGTATAATTTGAGGTCTGGTATTGTGATGCCTCTTGCTTCACATTTCTAGCCAAGAATTGCTTTGGCTATTTTGGGCC